AATTAAAATGTAAAAATAGGGATCTCTTTAGGTTAGTTAATGTCAGATTAGGTAAAATAAATAATAATATAATAAAAATGTTTCATGATGCACACATGCAAGTAGCTCGTGGGTAACGTAATTCGATAGTGTAACGTGAGCTCCACGTTCCCTAAGTGACTTACAACTTATAAGGTAGAGAAAATAACAGATAAAATATAAAGTTTTATTGAAAACAAACATTTGAAATGTATATAGGAGGTTTTAGAGATAACACAAATGAAAAAAAACATTTTTAATCTTAACATGAAAATCACTTTCACACAGACTAGTAAAAATATACTTGATATATTCACAGACGAATCTATGATTTTAATCTTAACATGAAAATCACTTTCACACAGACTAGTAAAAATATACTTGATATATTCACAGACGAATCTATGATTTTAATGTTAACATGAAAATCACTTTCACACAGACTAGTAAAAATATACTTGATATATTCACAGACGAATCTATGATTTTAATCTTAACATGAAAATCACTTTCACACAGACTAGTAAAAATATACTTGATATATTCACAGACGAATCTATGATTTTAATCTTAACATGAAAATCACTTTCACACTGACTAGTAAAAATATACTTGATATATTCACAGACGAATCTATGATTTTAATCTTAACATGAAAATCACTTTCACACTGACTAGTAAAAATATACTTGATATATTCACAGACGAATCTATGATTTTTTGTTTGTGAAAGACTTATAATGTTTACTGAAAAATTAATCTATATTAAAAGTTAGTAGTATCAAAACTATAAAGAATTTAAACGAGTACAAAGAGGTCACATGGTCAGTAAAGTTAACCAAGCCCGTGTTGAGAGAGTTAAATCTTACCTTACACATCAGGACTCTAAGGTGTATATGACATTTAATTTCTGATGCATTGTAATGGTTGATTTGATTTCCACATGCTGTGCAAGTGACTTTCATTACAGCAATGTCTTCCACTGGAGAAAAAAAAAGTGTAAGTGCAATTAGAAACAAATTCAAAGTAACACATTTTTTATTGCTATATGAATACATATCAACAAAGCAACTAAGCTTAATACTGTAAGATAATACCCACAAAATACTATATGTATTACAGTTCTAAAATGTATGAAAATTATATAATAAAACTTTGAGCCAAATGGCCTTCATTTGACTTTGACTAAATTTTATCCCAAGATATTTTAAATTTCACTAAATTAAATAATTCACTACTATATAGAAATAACAATACATGATTTAAAACTTAAGTGTTTTATCTGTTTACTACAGTCATTGTGTATTATAATGATCATTAAGCTAAACATACAATTTAAATACACAACACTTTGTTACTGATTTACTTCACCCTGTGAAATAGCTTAATTCTGTATTATATTCATCCTTACAATAAACTTAGTTTATATCTTGATTCACCAAAATTCTTAAACTGTCAAGAAATAATCACTATGGCACACATTTAATTATCTTATCATTAACTTTTTTCTGGATAATTGATAAACACCTCATTGTATATAATTACTGTAAAATACATATAGGAACCACAAAATGGTACGTAACTCAACATTTATTTACTGTTTTATCTCATCTTATCAAATTTATAAAAACAAATTACAATAAGCATAATTGATGTTGTGCGACTTCTACCAATTTATATTCAACTAAAAAAATAAAACAGGCTCTTTCAACCAAAAAATGTCAAAACACAGATTATTAACTATAAAAAAACTGTTTAATTTAGCTTCAGAATCCTGTTAATTTTTGTCTGAGCAAAAGTTAACGCTGTCAACTTCTCTGATTATAATACATGCCTGACAAGCTTTCTGAATCCACTTTTGAAACAAGTACATATAGGGAATAGAATGTCAGACATATCCTCCATCCATGCAAGTCTCTTCTTACCAGTGAGAACAGTTTTATTTTGTAAAAAAAGCCTTTAAAGTCAGGTTAAAAGTTTTCTTTTGAGCTTCAGTTTTAAGTGCTTAAATATACAAAGCTTAGAAATGTTTATTGTTTGGAGAAAGTAAAGTTCTTTTTTTAGTATTAATAAATGCTGTATGTTTTTCATTGCATTGTTTGGATTCCAGGAATATAATTCTGGATTGATTTGTAAAGTCTGGAATGATCTTAGTTATTTATTCAGATTATGTTTAACTTGTACCAGAAAGCAGGTCATAATGAAGAAACTGAAACTTTCATAGTTTCTTCTTCTATTGGTCTCTGCTTGTAAATTGTTTGTCTTAATCTCAATTCATTCTCTTTACACAGGCTCGGTCAAATTGCCCAACCACGTGACAACTTTCTGCTCATTTAAAGTCATTATAGATTTGATACTACTAACTTTCAATATAGTATATATATATATTCACAAAAGTTGGCAAAATTTCAGTAAACATTATAAGTCTTTCACATACAAAAAAAATAATATTTTTTTGGTGAAGTATTTTTAATAAACTAAAAAAAGTGATTTGTCTGTGAATATATCCAGTCTCTTTCTTTTATTAGTTTGATGCAGAGTGATTTCCATGTCAAGATTAAAAATACTTTTCTTCATCTCAAATTTCATTTGTATAATCTCTAAAACCTCCTAAATACATTTCAAACGTTTTTTTTTCAGTAAAACTTCATATTTTATTTGTTATTTTCTCTACCGTAACTCTACACAAGGTTGGTCAAATTGACCAACCTTGTAACCACCAAAATAAAATTGAAATAAATTTAAATTACCCTTATTTTCTTTCTAGAATGACTTCAAGTCATAACATGAAACTACATTCATTTATCCTATGCAGCTTCAAACTCATAACAGTATACATCTATTTATACTAAAATTTTATTGTTTTATTACCCTATGAACCATGTATAACTACTATTCATGCTATCATAAGTTGTAAAGCACTGGGGGAACGTGGAGCTCACATTACTCTATCAAATTACATCACCCACAAGCTACTCCAAGCTGCTCGCTTGCATGCCTCATGAAACATTTTTATTATATTATTATTAATTTCCTTAACCTAACTTTAACTAACCTAAAAAGATTCCTATTTTTACCTCTTAGTTACTTTACAATAATAAATAAAGAATAAACATGAAAAACAAGAAATAAAGTAATTACTCAG